CACATTTGATTCAAGCTTGTTATCCAAAGAGCTTATCTGTAAAAATTTCTCGAAATCGCTTCAGAGCTCCTTACAATCATATCAGTTTATTGAGCCCTAACCGAAATTTTTAACATATAGATGTATCCTTTTCACTTACATGTGAGAATTTGTAATGATCATAAAAACGAATGTGTTGTTTGAAACATTCATGCAAAATTCGATAAATTAGAGAGTAATACTGGCGAAATTCTCGCATAATTTATCGTTGGAGAAAAAATATCCTCGAGAGAGCGGTTGAACATGTCCTAAGATAAGCCGAATCAAAGCGGCACTAATGGACGAAAGAAACTGACCATATCTTTCAGGAACGTTTGCTCGAGTGCGTTCCATAACTGATCATCCGTAAACTCATTACACGGATCCAAATTGAATCGTATCGTACCAGCGAAAAGTGTTGGATCCTGTGGGATGACCGCCATCGCACGTCGTAAACGATGCAGACCAATGTGCGTGATGTTCACGCCATCGATATGAATGTCACCCCAGGTCAACGGATACATTCGATACAAAACATTGCACAATGACGATTTACCTTCAAATACAATAAATGGAATTTTTTGAAGATGATCGATAAAGAGTGACTGAATGTTGAATGGTTGAAATCAGTATTTCATGAAAATGTTGGATTTCCTCCGTTGACTTCGTTAGCTGAGGGGCAACAATGATGTCAATGAACTGATAGTGATACTCGAGATATTACTGACAACAATGAACCATAAACTCGTCATGGGTCAGTGTAATTTGCTGATTAATTAAACATTAGTCGCGAATGAATATAATACTAACATACAATACTTTTATTGGGGAGTACCCAATCGCATGAAGGCATAAATCATTTTAGATACAAAAATCGCATTGCAGTGAATGAAGTGAAAATGATCGAAACTCCTATGAATGGTATGAATTTACCTGATCCTGTCCGTCCCACGATTCCAACCTTTTCTTTTGGAGGAATACTAAACGTGACATCGTCAAGTGCGAGTGGCAGGCTTGGACGATAACGTAATCTTGAATAAAACAATAATTTAGCCAAAGATTAGCAATTTTCAATCAGTTAGCATGAATAAATAATAACTTTTCTGAATGTAAACGAGAAATTTCTATATAAAAGAGTGTAATATCGAGATGAACTGAGTTCACCTACTTGACATTCTTAAATTCAATACCACCACTTGAGGGCCAGTCCGATGGTACTGGTGGGTCATCCTTCTTCGTTTCCCAATTATCCTCTGATTCGACATGCTGAAATAGGATAATACAATCATTATTTCAGGTTCTGAAAATCACTATCACTAAAACTGTTCGAAGCTATCGTACTACTATTGTTGACTATGAGACTCGAAAGTTTCGAAGATTCCATTGTTCAAATGATATTCTCAGAGTTATCATAATATCGTTGTCTTTGAAAGATTCCTTTGAAAATGATTTCATCTGTATTTGCGATCGTTACTGCTTCCGAGATGGTGCTGAACTCAACTGCTGTGAATAATCTTTAAAACATCTGGATCAGTTGAATCTGATTCCGTAAAAATTAAACTACTCACGTTACAATAATGTGCCACTCGCTCCACTGAGGTCATCTTCGCTTCGAGTTCGGTTTGTGTTCGAACCGCAAATTGGAATATACCGCTCATCTGAAATACCATATATCCCAAATAAAAACATCTTATATGAGAATTACTGCTAAAACTTCTCCAAGGATGATATCCTTAAATACACGTCAAAGAGAACTAACTCAATGAACCGAAACAAAATCGACTTCAATTTATCATTTCATCATTAATGTTACAGGTCACATAAAGCAATTTCGCAATTGGCTGTTTCTAATCCAACGATTATCAGTTTCTAACCGAACTCATTGGCTGCTTTCAGAA